ACGCAGAACCGAGGTTTGCATCGACATCTAATCCGTTTGCACGCCGAGCTACAAGGCGGAACGGATTATCCAAAAATCCATCCTGCAGCCGGAATACACTATTGAAGACTACCGTCTTCCAAACGCGCTTTCTTCCGAACTAAATCATGTGCAAATTCGTCAAACATTTTCCAACAACAATTGCGTGAGGTTTTCCAAATTTACAGTACTGGGTTCCCCCACCGTGTTTCAAAAGGCCGAGTTCCTACAAACGTAGTAGTCAACCAACAATTGTGTTGAACCCTCCCATTTGATCAAGTTTCTCTCACATCGTTACCCACCTTTCCTTTCGTACTTCATACCATGGGTCCATAAGGGCAGAATAAAATTCTAAGCGTAGGGTCCAAAAATTAAGGCGCACAGCCCCTCGATAAGAAACTTTGGTTTCTACAGACAGAGCCAGATATTTTTTAATCAACCAAAAACGCAAATGCTAAAGTAAGCTCAGTAAAAACAAATGGTATGAACAGGACAGTAGAGTCAACAGGAAAGAATGGTTGTGTAACAGAAGTCAGAGCTGTAAACCGGAGTGTGCTGTGGGTTTCGTCATCTGAAGTCCGGGGAAGACAACAGTGCAATTATTTAGGGGGATTCTGAGGTGCCTGCAAGCAGCTGGGTGCAGCACCACTCATCTGACTCTAAAGCAGCCACTTGGAAGCAGACGCACAGCGGTGAAACGCATATTCTTCCTTCCTCTTTCAGGTGGAGAGGAGAGGTAACATTATTTAAAGCCCACTACTGATCTCCCAGAAATGAAGGGAACAGTGCGGCTGTACTGCACAAAGGCGAAAACAGAGCGTTGCCGGTATAGATGGTATCACAGGCTAACACCCAGATCCCTGAAATCCCGACAAGGGTGTTGAGGGACTAGCCAAGAGGTCGACCCAGTGAAACCACCGGTATACGCTCGAGAGGTGAGCGCGCGTGCCGACTGTGACCCAGTGCTGCTAGAGCAGTCAGCAGTGCAGACAACACTCCAGCTGGCAGCAGCAACCAGAATCCATCCAAATAACTGCACTCGTGTCGTCGAAAAGATGAGGGTGAGGGGCTACATGAAAAAAATCTGCGTACAGAGAGTGGGACTGGATGCTGTTCTAAGGTAGGTCCGACTAAATTCCTGCGGTATTAACAAAAGGGGTATGATTCTGCGGCCGCCTGGAAACCGACCCGTGCCGTGGCGTCCTCGAAGGCAGACACCTCCTGCTCCGCGGAAGTCTGCCTGTCGGGATTTCTCAATAGAGCGAGAATTGTTGGGTGGGCCAGAAAGCGGGGTGCGGAAGTTGCTGGGTGCTGCCTCGTGTGCGACGCTCCAGGCACTAAAGTTGCGAAAACAATGGCAAGCATCAGTACAACCGTAACAGTAGCGCAAAAGTAAACGACCCAAAATGTCCTTGCTACCAAATGAAGTATTAAACAGGCA